GGAACAGAGTGTATATATATATATATATATATATATTTGAAATATGAATACTCTTGCATTGTTTAGCTTACTTACCATATTGTTCATTATCACATCTTTGAAATCTTCAACATTCCATATTCTGCTGGAATCTTTTTGCATTTTCACTATGTATTTGCCCATATCTTCAATCAAGTCATGCATTTCAATATAATCATATTCAGAGATGAACACAAGGGATTTGTCAATTAGGACATCCAATATGTATTCAGCTCCAGAATCATAGCTCTCAACAATTTGCATGACTTCTTTTCTTTCATCTCCTCGGAAGAAACATGCGATATCTAGAAATATCTTTTGCTCTTCGGACTCCAACCCATCATAACTTATTTTGAGTTTTTCAACAATTTCTGAATTACAATTTTTCTTTATTTGGTCTACCGTTCTTCTCCACTGAATAAGGTCTTTCTTATGTAGCAAAGAACCCCACACCTTGAGGGCTAAAGGAAGGCCTTTAGCCTGATTTACTACCTCCAACGATAACTTCTTAAAACATTCATTTGGAACTTCTTTTCTAAAAGCATGCTTATTGAACAATTGCATAGCATCATCATCAGGTAGTGTAGGCACTTTGTATATTGCAGCATCCTTCTCTATCAATTGTTTGTTTCTAGTTGTTACAATAACTCTGCTGCCATTACCAAACCAACCAACACCACCTGCTAAATACTCCAAATGATCTCTTTCATCAATGTCATCAAGCACAATCAACACCTTCATTGAAGAAAGCCTGTTCGGAATCACACACTTCCCATCATACTTATTATTGACGTAATTATCATTTTTTCTTAACAATTCAGAGAGAAGGGTATTTTGTATGAAATGTAGTTGATTCTTTCTTGCATTTTCTTTAACATCTACAAGAAAACAAGCTGCTTGAAATTGATGAGATAGAGTATCAAAGATGGCTTTTGCTATCGTCGTTTTACCAACTCCGCCTATTCCCCATATACCTACAATCCGAACATCATTGATTTCTATTTGAAGTAGGGATTTTAGTTCCTCTAAATGAGCATTTATTCCCACAACATCTTGCAAATAAGATAAAAAACGAGCACTCTTGCAAAATTTCGAAGAGATGTGGTCGACAATCTGCTGAATTTTCTCTGATTCAATCCTACATAAATAAGAGATTGATTGTTGCCAATGTGAGAAAGTCAAGTATTAGAAAGTATTTTCATATTTTTAATGTTCAAGAGCGTATTAAATAGGAAACATTATAGCTCAGGGTAATAGAAACATATTATGTGTTTTCAACTCACCCGTCACGAATATCATATCCTTTTAGATTTGCGGCAGCTGTTAGAGCAGTTCTCCATCCTTGCACCTTCTGCATCCCCTCAACATCATCCTTATACCTCGATTCATGTTTGGCAAATACTTCTGCAAAGCTCTCACTTTGGTATCGAACATGTGATGGATCCACATCATAGAAGATCGGTATGACTGTTTGTCCATTTTCTTCCTCCTTGCATTCCATGACCTTCACTAGTTCATTCAAGCACCACCTCGATGTAGCATAATTCCTTGAGAAAACAATGAGTGCAACTTGAGACTCTTCGATAGCTTTCAAAAGTTCTTTTGAGATGGAATCGCCTTGCTCTAGCCTTTTATCATCTTGAAAGGTGAATATTCCCCTGTTTTTCAGACCTTCGTACAAGTGACTCGTAAATGTTTTACGGGTATCTTCACCTCTAAAACTTAGAAAAACATCGTACTTCCATCGAGGACAATATTGTGAATCACTCGCAAAAGAAGAAGAAGATGCCATGGATTTGGTTAATTTGTTGAAATTTGAGAATAAAGATAAAAATTGTGTGGATAGATAGAATTGATGACATTTGAAGCAAAATTATTATATATATATATATATATATATATATAGGACAACAAATATGAAAAGTTTCCAGGAAGATGGGGTCTACTCCAATTGTATTGAATTATTGCTATGTGGTCCACAGTAATATGAACACAATGGAAGCTGCAAAGAAAGACTACTTTGGAAAATATCTCAGTTGAATCGAATTATTGCGAGTTAATTCTTTATTTTTATTTTTATTTTTTGGATTTGGATTTTTTTAAAATCAAAAATCAAAAAATTAAGTTGAGAGTCAAAATTACTAGGTTTTTTTGAATGCGTCTCCTAGACATCATTCTATTTTGCTTCTTCTATAACAAACAGAGGAAATATGTCTCCTTCAAAAACAAAAGAATCAATTATGAATAGAAAAGAAGAAATTTGGTTACCTTGTAATTCTATTTAAAATTCAAATAGAAAATATCATTTCGTTTCAATTTGTTTGTTTTATTTTTTTTGTTTTTTATTCCGCTTAAAAAAATATATACCTTTCCTTTTATGTGGTATATCAAGATTAATTATTAGTTATTATAAGTATATATTTAATTTTTTTAGTGTATATTTAATTATTTATACCCTTAACATAACTGAGAAGAATATTTACACACCCTTCGCTAAACTACTAACTTGGCCACGAAATTTATTGCTCCACAAGTACAAACACCAACTTCCCTTTCTCTTCTCTACCAAAAGTCGATTGAAATTTGTCTTTAATTTCACAGAAAGCAGACTATGAAATTGTATTGACTGGTTATTTATCTTCAATACATTGAAGTCTACTCTTCATGCTTGGCCAGTCACAAAGAAATTGCTAGAACATTACCATATAGTCATATATATTATTCAAAGTGGGAAGATCCAAAGTGAAAAGTTAGATTGCCATTTTACCCTCAAGCTAAAACTATTTCTATAAATATTTTATTTATTAAAAAATAAACTTATATTACAATAAATATTATTAGAACATTAAATATTTTAGAATGAATTATTTAGTTGAGAAACTAAATTTATTGTAGTCTTTTCAATTTTCCAGAGTTACTTTTCCATGTAATACTTATTGTGAATATATACCATATATTACGCTAGAGTAAAAGAACTTCAAAAAAATTATTTAAATATCTTAATTATATTATTAAATGTGCTTTTAAATGTTTTCATTTCAATTTGAAACGTCGTATATCTCAATGACTCGGTGCGTCTGGAGGAATAAAATGGTGTTTAACTCTATTTTGCTCTGCATTAAATTTTGGGAAAATTGTATATATATAATAGCAAACTATTAATTCAAATTAAATGCTATAAATATACTTTGATTTAATTGTACCCTATAGCCAACTATTGCTATTTTTGCTACTCTCCCTGATGGAATCTCGCTCGCCACTCTCGTTTTGGTGGCAGTCTCGCTCGCCCTCTCTTGCTTTTATACAAACACAAACGTATAAAATGTGTTTGTATAAAAGCGAGAGGAAATTGTATATATACATATATTTTTGTTCCCCTCTCCCAGATCTCGCTCGCCACCCTCGCCTCTCTTGCTTATACAAACAGAAACGAAATGTATAAATTGCGCTTCTATTTGTATAAAGCGAGAGAAAATTGTATATACACATGCAAATACATATATCTTCGTCCTATATGTTGACACTCAATTTTGACCCTCTTTTCTTCTAATTTATCATTTTCAAGCTTCTAAATTAATAATGTATCAAATTATCTCTTTTCACAACTATTTTTACTATTACAACTATTTATCTACTAAAATTATAGGTTTTTATTATCGAAATGATTATTATTACTTTTTACATCTCTTTTCTTAAATAATCAATTGTCGTCATCTTATTTTTAGTTTCGTATTTATTAAATTAATTATAATTTAATACTTCATATATATATATTTTATATTAGCGATATTTTTATTATGTAAATTTCTAGTTGTTATCATATCATAATATATATTGTATTAATTATTAATTTAGAAGCCTAAAATAATACCAAGAAAGAAGAGAAATGACCTTCAAATTCAGCCCAAAATTGGCCAGCAAAACGAGCCCAAGTCCACTCCAAAATATGGCCCAACGAAACTTTCAGATCAGCCCACAAAAGAAAATTTAGCACCAGCCCAACTCATTTTTAAACCCCACATTAGCAGCAACAAAGCACCTCTGCCTCTTCCACTTTCTTTCTGTCTTTTTCCTCTTTTCAACAACACTCCACTGTTCTTTAACCATGGAGCAGAGTTTAGCTACCCTGTTTCTGTGATATAATCTTTTCAATCACGTGAAATCTGAAAAGTTTCTCCTGAAGCTTCAAACGTTCGGATTTGAAGACTTTTTGACCATTTTTCCAATTTAAAAATTCTATTCCCACTCAACACAAATGAAGAACCCTAATTTTTTCCTATAAATACTTACATTTCAGAGCTTATTTGGGAGGATTTTTCAAGATCTGGCCACCCCTCACCTCTAAAATTTTTAGTTATTTCTCCTCTAAACCATCTCTTCTATTTTCGTATTTTACCATTTTCTTTGGCATTCCAGTCGCAGCAATAGTTTGTGTGTTCGTTTCGACCATTAACGGTGGTCATCAGAGTTAGTAAGTAGATCTAAGATCGAGACCGCAAGCCCCCGTTCACTGCCTCGCAACAGGTGATCTTCGTCCCTTTACTTTTACTTCTATTATTGTCTCCGTGAAAATATTATGCCTATTGTAAGAAAAACCATGTGTCAAGTATAATACTCACTTATTTTTAGCTATCATGAAAGTGATGTTTAAAAAAATATGTTTTTTTTTATTTAGTTTGAGGCCTGGAGAGATTTGAGTTCATATCTCCTTCACATTTTAATTTAAAGAATGATTTTGTTTTGGAAGGGGTTGGTGATATGTAATATGTTTTTGGTTCCAAGTTTGGTATTTATTTGTATCTCTATGTGATAAACCGATATTGTTTTCGCTATTCTTTATGTTTTAAGATTATTATGTTGTGTTGAGAATCATGTCATAGATATATCTATTTATTTGTTTTATATGCAGAGAAATTGAATACAAACTTGCCGCATTTATTAGTAATCTTGGTATTTAAAAAGCTGTGGCCTTATTTATGCTTAAACTCGCCAATGAATTTTAAATTGATAAAAAGCAAAATCCTTGTGCTAAAGTTTATTGCTATATTTTTTTTTTATTTTTTTTTTCTTTTCCTCAACAGTATGTATTATTAGAATATATTTTGGAAAGAAAACTTGCTTATTGGATTCAGATTTGGTTCTAATTTGACTTGTGAATGCTACTTTATAAATATTATATATAGTTCGAGCTTTAGTTTCTTCTTACATTGTATATTTGAAACAAAATGTACCATACATTGAACTCAATAATATTACCTAGAGCCTTTCTATAATTAACTAAATAGGCCTTAGACATTAAATAAATATATTTGTTTATATATTGTATCCATGTAAAGCTTTTCTTTCTTGTTTAATATGTTGTGATGTGTTGTGATGATTGCTATCCTTTAATGAGAATGGTATTGGTTTAATTTAAAGGCTTTGAGATATTTATTCACTGTAAGCATGCTTGTAAATATTAGTTAACGAAATTTTATTTTTCTTCCTATAGAAGAATGTATAAGTTAGTTGGGTGTTACAATTTATTTCATACTTACTATTAAGGTACTTGTGTTGGAATTGAATAAATGGAATGTATATTTGTTCACCTATTAGTTACCTGCATGTCTAATCCTTTTATTTCTCTTATTGTTGTACATGTACACTTTGGGAGGAAAAAACGGAGTTTCGATTAGGATTCTCGCAAAAATCGAGTCTTATAGACTCAACGTTATCCTCATACCCACACATGGAGTGTTCACTACATTTTTTACTATTCCGAATGGCAAGCAAAACAAGCGAGCCTCGCTTGGAGTCACTCATGGCTATTTATATTTTAGCATTAACTTGTTTATTTATTTTTCTTTATATTTTACACTTGCTTATGTGACTTGAATATGTTTTATTTTTGAATTCTCAAATAGGTAACATAATATAGATGTTTGGGTTTGGGTATCGTTAGCTAGAAACAAACATTTACTAGTCGCTTTACTTTTTGTAAACCTCATTTGGCAAATCCCTTTTTAAAAAAAACACACTCCCTTTTTTCATTACTTTAAACTCATTAATTTATTAAGTTATGTTCAAACTTGGTAATGTCTTTCAACAAAGAAATATTTTATTCTAAACTATTATTTAAAATAAAATAAAATATATATATATATATTAAAAAAAAAATCTAAAGAAAGCACTTTGTCAATCAATGAGCTAATTTTTTTTAATTACCCTTTTAGCCATGAATTTGTCTAAATTGATCTAAAGAAATTACTTTTTTTTCATTCTTATACAATTGCAAAAAGCTTTTAAAATAAAGAATGTTTTTTCCAACTTGGTTACTCAATTACTTAATATTTAGCACTCATATTCTTCCTTTTAAAATTAACTAACCTAAGTTTGGTCGGTAATCGTATTTTTTAACGAATCTTAAAGGGTGCCTTCCCTTTAGGATAACTAGAACCCTTACCTAGAATCTTTTTAAGTTAGTAGACTTTGATTGAAGTCAATTTTAACATTATTTAGTTGAATATTTAGGTGTCCTAATTAACCTTTAAAAATAATTAGGTGGCAACTTCTTAAATGAGTTTATTAATTTGGAAATCACCAATTGTTGTACACGTTTTGACCTCGAGTTAAAATGGGGTATAACACTATACACTTATAATTATACAATACAAATATTTTCCTGCCCAGTTTTCTTTTGCCTTTCTCTCTTTCTCGTTTTATACATACACAGATTATACAATTGATTTTTTGTATACAACTGCTTTCTTTTGTATTTGTATAGTGAATTATACAGCTGCCTTCTTTGTATATGTATAGCGAATTATACAACTGTTTTTTTTGTATATGTATAGCGAATTATACATATATATGTTTGCTATGGAGCGCAATTATGCAAACTTTACTATAACATAAAAATATGAATTTTGTGTTTGCTATATGTGAAAGTTGCTCTTCTTTTTGGAATTGAAGGTGGGCTGGGTATGAAATGGGTCTGCTGGAAAAGTTAGAGAAAAGGCCCAAAATTTGGCCTGCTGATGAGTTTAAGATGAATTGATTAGAGTTGGCGAAATTAGTAGTTAAATAATTGCCCCAAATAAATTCAATGGTAACCAAATCGAATTTAATCAACGAATTTGGTTAAAACTTAAACAAGATGAATTAATACAAATTAATTAATGAGCTTCTTAACTTCAACGAAATGAAATAATTAATCTAATTATAAACTAATAACTCAAAAATATAAGTATAAATTAACTAAACCAATTAACCAACTATTTAAGTAAAACTAAAAAAATTTTGAGACGATTTTTGAATATTCATAAAATATATTAATTATATACAAAATTATATAAGAGCCATATTATTATTTAAAAATTAAAAAAGTGACAAACTATTAAAAATAACTTGCAAACCTTTTTTTTTTTTTGAAATTTTCTAAAACTAATTATTTTAAATCGTTTGAAATTGAAGAAGCTTGATAATTAATCTATATGCGGAGATTCAAAATTGAGTGTCAACAATACTATATCAAAACGCATGGTTAATAGTATATCCTAACAATCTCCCACTTAGACTCATAACCATGCATCTACAACTCTAACTCCCATTTTAAAGCATTGTCGATACTTCACCTACTAGAATCAAACACTTATATATAGACCAAAACTAGTAGAATTTAAAAAAGACAATAATAAATTATATTTTTGAAATTTATTCAATTAAATGAGTTTAAACAAGTCATATAATCATGTAAGAGTTCACATAAATTGGGTGTGGTGATTAGAGATGTATGAGGAAGAATTGTGATTATACAATCAACATCCTTAGAACAATATTTGAAAAAACATAAGTATGTTGTGAGGATATCACTTGTTTAACCACACATTGTTGATTGCCACCCCAATTTATGTAGACTCATACGTGATCACATGCTTATGTTCTAAAGATATTGATTGTATAACCACACATAACAAGTTACATCATACTTATATTTTCTCAAATATTGTTCTAAGGATGTTGATTGTATAA